GGGTTTAGGGTTTAGGGGGTTTGAGCTGCGAAAAAGTGGCAAAAATGGTAGAACTCTGCTTTTAGGTTATACTAGCATTATACTATTATTGCTATCATGGTATTTCTTACAAGGGGTCCGTATTGTGAGGAGAATGTATATGGGTAGTTCTCTAAATTGGGTTCCCTTTTAGGGTCCTTTTTTATAAGTGTGCCGTACTATATCGGGGGCCCAAAAAGGGCAACTAATTTAGAGAACTGCCCATATATTGGCCTGAAGAACTAGCGACACTGTCATCTCCCCCAGTCCCTGACGAATTCCTCTATGCATGACAGTGCCAGAATGGACACCGAACTCCTCCAAGCTGAGGGTTTTAGGGCTTAGGGTAACTCTCCAAGCTGAGGGTTTTAGGGCTTTGGGTAACTCTCCAAGCTGAGGGTTTTAGGGCTTTGGGTAACTCTCCAAGTTTAGGGGTTTAGGGCTTAGGGTAACTCTCCAAGTTTAGGGTTTTAGGGTTTAGGGTAACTCTCCAAGTGCAGGGTTTTAGGGTTTAGGGTAACTCTCCAAGTATCTCCAAGTCCCTAAACCCTAAGCCCTAAACCCGAAACCCAAAGCCCCAACCCCCAACCCGCAGCGTTTAGGGTCTGCGCTTTATTCAGAGCCCGAGAGGTTTGGATCCTCTCCGGAGGACGCCTGCGAAAGCATCGCAGCAGCCTCGGCCAATCGAGGGCTGGGTTCAAGTGTCAGGGTTTGGGATATATAGTCGATTTAGGACTTTGGGTGTAGGGTTTAGGGTTTGGGGTGTATTGGTAGTAAGATAGGGTCGCTCATTTCAAGTATACTAGAGTAACCCCTAAACCCTGAACCCTTCACCCTAAATGGGAAATACTATTCTCTCGGGTCACTATAGGAAGCCTGCAGGCTCCCTGGACCTTTTGGGAACACCTTCGGAACCCGTATAGAAGCCCTGTTAGACATGAGCAACTGTGCCAAAGGCATCGGTCAAGCTTTTCGATGCGCACGCAGGCACCCGAACCGGAACAAAGCTTGACACACTTAGCCTTCAACCTTCGATTCGATAGTATAGGTATACCCTAAACCCTAAACCCTAGACCCTAAACCCGAAACCCTAAACCCTATACTAACACACCGCCCTAAACCCTTAACCCCTCTTCGAAGACAGCTGGTGCTCAGGCCCCAGTCGCCCAGACGGGTACGAGGAGATCTTAGACATCTCATGGGTAGTTGTTTAAATTAGGGTCCCTTTTGGGGTCCCCAATATAGTACGGCACCCTTATAAAAAGGACCCTAAAAGGGAAAAGGGACCCTAATTTAGAGAACTCCCCTCATGAAGGAACCCTTAAAGGGAACCTCTTTCTAGAACCCTTCTGTTGGCCCTACCTTAAGAACCCCAAACCCCACTATTTTGTAGGTTCTGGTTATCAACCCTAATATGGCAATTTGTAGGGTGGGGTGGATCTTTGCAAAGGTCCCGGTACTAGCACATTGCCTCCATAGAGCCAACGTAGTCGGATGCTCAAGCAAGTAAAAACTAATCCTTGACGGGTTCTCCTGTTGCCTTGTTGCCGTATCATTTGGGGTTGTTCCAAGCCTAGCCAAGGACAAAACGATCCGCGGGGGTGAGGGTGTAGTGCTGGACGCCGCAGCCTTCCGTCGCGTGAGTAAGTCCCTGCTTCACGCCCTGCTTCTACGCCTGCTGCCGCCATGACGCTTCGTTACAGTGTCGGTGACTACGAGTGCTATGAGTGTGGTAGCACTCAATTGGAATACGGCCAGGCCAGTGGGGTCCTTCGGGGTTCCTTCTTTCCTTCCGGGTGTCTTTTTCCTAGGGCTTTGGGGTTCCTAGGGCTTTGTGCCGGGCTGGTGGATGTATTTTTTTTCCCTCCAGACACACGCAGCAGCAGGACAATCATTTTTGGTGCGTTGAATGTGGGGCTCTGAACCCCTCACTGGATCCCCTCGGCCTCACGACCATCGATGAGGAGTGTGTCCTTCGGGCGCTGGTGTTCTTCGGGTTCTTAGGTCTGGGTTTCGGAGGGTTTCTGTCTTCTTTGTCTTTGAAAGGGAGGTTCGATCTGAATTTCTAATCTCAGTTGGTTTACTTGCATCAGGACGAAC